AGCAGGGAAAATCCCTACAGGGACTTGAATTTTCTCGAGTTGTCGGCGTTTGTTTCCACTTCACGCCTGTAAGGGCTGTTATCCAGTCATACACTGTTTTGCCTGTCAGCGGTGATCCGTAGAAAGGTGGATAGTTTTCTCGTTGTTTTCCCATTGGAGAGGCGAGAGGATTCTGTTTTCCTCCTTGTATGGCTGATCTTTTTCTGTCCTGGAAATGTCTGTCAGAGTTTTTCGATTGCAAACTTTGAAAAGATATTTAAACGCTTAGTACAATTAGAGAATTGTGGTTTGGCACGCTTAGTCTGATATTAAAAGTATGCTGAGTAACTGCAAGTGGTGCATACCAATGAAACGGGAAGCCTGGCGACTCACAATACTGTGCGATTTGTTTAATGATTGTGATGGGGGAGCACTTTACAATTTTGGTTTGCTTTTACTTCAAAAACTCCATTCTATGATCATTAAATTCAAAACTTCAAGTGAACTCGTGGCAATCGGAAGAAACTGGTGTAAACATGTAAACGATGAGGAGCTGATCATTGTGTTCGCTGGGGTAGAATCCCTTCTTAATTTCCCGTCCGTTGACTTATCAGAGTTCAGATCCACGAGAAGATGTTCCATTGACCCCTAACCATTTCTTACAGGGCCAAATGGGGGGACAGTTCGTGCCTGACTCCGTTGAAACCACTCCTTTGCCTCCGCGTCAACGATGGCGAAAGCTCCGGGCCATTATTTCACGAGTGTGGAGGAGATGGCTCAAGGAATGTATTCCTGCCCTTAACAGCCGACCGAAGTGGACTTCAGAATTCCGAGACCTAAAAGTTGGAGATGTAGTTCTTGTGATTCAGCCCGATACTCCAAGAGGACGTTGGCCGTTAGGACGAATTGCCGAAGTGTATCCTGGACGTGATGGCCACACCCGTGTTGCTAAAGTTGCGTGTGGCGTCAAAACTGTCGTGAGACGAATTAATAAACTGATTCCGCTTGGAATTAATTTTTAATCACTTATTTAGGAACACACTAGGACTACCTCCCAGTGTTGGGAGGGGGAAAATGCTAAGAAGATAGTACGGGAATGGCGTGTCGTGCGGTTAGCGCGCGCGCGCGCGCTGAGACATTTAAATTTTACCAGTTCGTACGCAAGTTACGCGTACGATTTCTCGCGTGTGTGTTTTTCAGTTTTAGTCGCATTTTTTTTTCAGTTTTACCGTCTTTTAACCGATTAAACGTGCCTGCTTTTTAAGGAGATTTTCGTTATCGCTTCCGAACAATCATTAAATTCAAAACTTCAAGTGAACTCGTGGCAATCGGAAGAAACTGTTTGAAGAAAAGCGGAAGCAGTGCAAGTTAAGGTGGCTGGTACCAGTTTTCATCTTTTTGATGGTTTGTAGCTTTGAAAGAATATAACAAAAAGACTAACCAAGGCCAGTTGAACACTTTTACAGGGTTGAAGAATATAACCATTGGTTATCCAAAAATAGGTGTTATTTCGTCACCAGCAGTTTCCATGGCAACACTTTCATAGGATTATTCAGACGCCTATTTTAGCTTGTGGCTCAAATAATTTGAAAACTAACTCGGCGACCCCGTGATTTTTCTTAGTGACCGCTTTTGGCACTTGAAAAGGAAAATGCACAAAGACTTTAAAAAAATTATACGGAGCGGAATTTCAGAGAATTTAGAAAAAGGCAATTTTCACGCATCGCAAATGTCCTTCCGTAGAATTTCCTAATTTTTTTCTGATGATTCCTTTCAATGTTATTATTATATTGGAACATTAAAAAGAAGGGGTCACCGGACTTTTTTTTCATGCAAAAGCTTTCGTGAGTCTAGCAATTCCCACGCACGTTCTCGCGCATTTAAAAATCCGGATGCCATTATATCGACAGTTGTTCATGATCTGTTACGGCTACCGCTGACAATTGCGTGTGCTCGCGCGAGCTCCTACTGCATCCGATCTGATGTTCAGAAACGTTTACTGCTCAGAAAGTCATTCAGCAGCCGTTAAAGACAGCCTTCCGGGCCCACCTTGAAAGATATACTTCCAGCTTCTGACTATATTAGCCATATTTTTATTGAAAAACAACGAGCGAAAGTTTGAAATGGAAAACACGTGTTGGTTGGCGCTTCGATCGGAATGTTTGTTTAGAGATTGTGAGTCTTCTAATAGGTAAAACGTTATGCCTGAGATTTTTTCGGGCATCTCTCCTTATTCTTCGTTCCTGGTTTCTTCGAAGTGTCTAACTATGGCGGCCAATATCCTCTTCGTCCGTGTGACTCGTGTTGTCTTCGCCGATGAAGTTGTTGGTGGATTAGACAATATGGCGACTAGTCCTCTTCTACCAAACCTTGTAACCTTGTGTACAGTTTGTGAAGGTCATCGTAAGAGAGATCACTGTCAGCGATGTTTTGTGCCATTGATCTTTTAATTGGTCCGGTGTCGGTTACGTTGAACAAGTTGTCACTGAATGTTAGAAGAAGTTCGTGGCGTTGATCTCGGTAGAGCATGTTTGCCACTGCGTGGGGAGCACTGATGATACTGGAATTCTCAACGATGTTTTTCCTGGAGAGGCTTAATGACGATCCAAAAAGAATTTTTCTCAGCGCCCTGACATTTTCTAAAGCATCATGGGCGTCAAATTGTTCCTTGAACAAATGGTTGTAAAAGTTGCTTTGGTTTGGTTTGCAGTATCCACTAGAATCGAGCTCAAGTGCTTTATGTTTGTTTTTAATCAGTTTTTTCATCAGATGTAGACTATCCGCAAAGTAGACATTCATGTCAGTAATGCCATCCTTGAAGTTTTCATCACTATTTCTTAGGAGAGTAGGGACATCGAACGTTGCCGAATTATGACCAATTAAAACAGTTATTTGATTTTCATGTCGCTCAGAAGACTTGACTTTAGTTATAAGAGTCAGGAAGTCACCAAGTGCTTCCTCTATGGTTATACTTTCGACAGGAATGTTTCCTTGGCACAATGTCTTTACTCCTTTTATGGTCTTTATGGTCATGCCATTGACAAGGTAGGCACTGTAACTTATGTTGCTTTTGGGAGAATGTAAATGGAGAATTCATGTTTCCCATTTCCACTTACAGCAGACAGTTTGCACATCTCAGCTAGCTTCCCTGTGCAAGTCGTTTATGTGTCAAAGATAACGAATTGATATTTCTGTTTTGAATCATATTGTAAGTGCACAATCTTTGGCCTTATAGTGTAGGGTGGTGTTATTTCTTCATATCCTTTTAGCTCAGTGAGTGATATTTCTGTAGGCATTTCAAATACATTTTGTGACCCTGTTTGATGATTTGTTGGGTCCAAATTTAGACCTGCTGAAGACTCATAGGTGACCCCTTCACTGACTTCCCTCCTGAGTGTTTGTGAGGTTTTTTTGTTAAGATAACTGGTTATGCCTTCTCTTGAATTTCTTTTTTTCTTTTTGTTGTTTGTCATAAAAAAACCTTCTTGTCCATTCCTTTAGCATGTCTTTCATAGAGAGAACCAAGCTCAATATTAAGAATCTCTAATGTTTTTCCAATGTGGTTGTATCCAATATTGGTTTGTGCCACCCCACATGCTACTCAAAAATCATTACTTTCACTTCCTCCATAAAAACGAGTTTTGGAGTTCTAAGAACCATTGGTGCTATTAAGACTTTCATTTCTCTGTGAATTAGCACGTGGGGTCAGTTTGTTCACTACAATGTCAGTAGAATATTCGTCCAGAATGTCACTTAAGGCTATTTTTAGGGAATCTCCAAAGAGATCTTTGCCATTTGGCAAGTCTGTATGTTTGTAGGCAACAGGATTTGGCTTGAAACCACACCATGAAACATTACAACATGTATGCTCCCCAAAGGCATGGGGAATAATGTTTTTGAGACCTTGCTTTAAAGATTCAGGATCTCCCACGTTTGGCTGACACAAAAACTGAAGCACTCAGTGATGTAATTTAAAACCTTTGAACTGAGAATTGAGCAATTCAATCCTTTGAAGCAGTCTCTAAGATTGTATAGTCTGGTATTGAGGGATTTCTTGGCATGACCAACATCAGACCATTTCTCAACACCATGAGGGACTTTGTTCTTTATGTCTGCAAGGGTTGTTGAGTCATCATCCCCTACATAAATTGAAAATTTGACTCCAGATTGAGGAGCTTTTCTCCACAGTTCACAAGCAACATCTCCATTGATTTCAATGCCCAGGTGGAAATCTTATTAAGATCTTACTAAGATTCTTGTAAGTTTCTTACTAAGATTCTTATTAAGATTCTTAATTAAGAATCTTGTAAGACCTTACAAGATCTTGTAAGATCTTGTCACAAGATTCTTACAAGAATCTTGTAAGATCTTACAAGAATCTTGTAAGATTCTTACAAGAATCTTGTAAGATCTTACAAGAATCTTGTAAGATCTTACAAGATCTTGTAAGAATCTTGTGACAAGAATCTTGTAAGATCTTACAAGATTCTTGTAAGAATCTTGTGACAAGATCTTACCTGATCTTGTAAGATCTTACAAGATTCTTGTAAGAATCTTGTGACAAGATCTTACCAGATCTTGTAAGATCTTACAAGATTCTTGTAAGAATCTTGTGACAAGATCTTACCAGATTCTATAAGATTCTTAACTAAGAATCTTGATAAGTATCTTAGTAAGAAACTTACAAGAATCTTACAAGATCTGGTAGGATTCCTGTGACAAGAATCTTAATTAAGTACCTTCACAAGTTTTCAAAAGAACTTGTTAAGATTCTCAACAATGTCTTAATGATCCCTAAAAGAACTTACAAGAACTTGTGAGATTTTCAAACAACTTACAAGAATTTTTGCAGAATCTGTAAAAATTCTTAAGTATCATATTTTTTTCAGACCATAGTAGGTAACTGATGGTTTATGCAATATTCAGTAACTGGATGATTGAGGAATGGAGATCACAACTAAGAAAGAATTTCTTCATCCAACATTAAGCAAAATTTATTGCAAATTCTCAACACTGTGAAATTAATTACTAAAAAATATCTTGATAAGAAACGTTAACTGGTAAACATGCACGATTTAAATGACAACTGTACAAGAAGAGTTCTTGTTCTTCCCTTTGGTGTGTTTTAAAAATTTAAAAAAACAATTGTTTTAATTGTTGGAGTCATTTGACAGTTTGATTTGAACTACCATAGTTATCCTTGCACAAAAAAGCCATAATAACTAAAGGCATGTCCCAGTTTTAAATTGTTCTTCGTTTGATTCAAACTGCAATGGTTTTTCTTCTTTTAGAATAATTTAAGCATGAAAACAAAAAAAAACAACAAAATTTTGTATTGCAGCAAACGTGTTCAAAGAATTAAAGCTCACTATCACTCATCTTAGTTGGCATTTTAGTCAATTTGACAGCTACTTGACAAGTAAATTTGCATATATTTCAATTTTGTACAAATATCAACCAAGCCTTAGTTCCACGGACTTGTCAACATTGCCCTCTACATCTTGAACTTTTCTCTTGGAATCCAAGCAATTTTTTTTATTCAAGTAGAGCCTTATTTGAGACCACCTCTTATTCATTTGGGCATCACCAAATTTCTGTATTATGGCTCCTGTGGGAAGAAAAAAAGAAAAAAATGAAAATGTAACATGTTAGGAGACAAGAATCAAGATTGTAAAAAAAACCCTCAGTGTTTAAATAATTAAGTATCATAATCTATTGTCTGCAGTAGAATTGTTGCTCTGACTTCAATTCCAGATTTCAGTAGCCTGACTTGTGAGGAGTACTTACTAAGGTAGAGGGGAGGAGCTTCTCAATGGTTCTCCTTGATCACCATCATGCCTCATCTGTAAGCAAAGAAAAGGAGGTAGTGACTATCTTTAACAAGAATTTATCATCTTTAAGAGCAAAATTTTTATGCACAGGTTCCCAGTTATGAATCTTGGCAATTTGCACTGCCCAACTCCAATCCAACAAACTTTGTTTACGCTTTGCACTGCTGAAACAGCTATTCCAAATTCCCACAAAAAGTTGATAAATGAAAAATTACCTTTTTACAATCAGGAGTTGCCACCCTTCTATTCCATTCTGTGCTTGTAGCATTAAGATGGGACTCAAAGTCTACTTTATTCAGGATACAATCATTTTTACAGGTGATCCTATCTCTCCAGTTCTCCTGTGAATATGAATTGAAAAAATGTTTACATTTGTTGTGCAATCCCTCCACTGAATTAAGTTTCATTAACCTTTAGAACAAAGAAAATTTTGAGAAAGGGAAGCAAGGAATCATAACTCAGCATTAAATGAAAACCAGAAAAAAAATACACACACATTCACAAAACAAAACAAATAAAAACTAAACAGAACCAAACAAAATACAAAAAATGTTGGATGGAATTAATACAGGTATCGAATGTGTTAGAGTAAAATTAACAGGATAACAGTGCCAAAATTCTGCCTTAAGCCATCTAAGTCAATGAAGTCTTGAAGGAGGGGGGGAAATGAACTATCCTGCGCCAACATTGAATATTTAGAGTTCTTACATCATCAGAAGAACTTCCCATTTTTTGGTAATTTTTGTTTGCTTTGGGAAGATTCCCACCACTGTGGACATGGCCGTGATAATCAAACCCAGTTTGGCTTTCATCATCATCCTCATCAGTGGAAACTTTTAAGTAGAACGTGGCAATTTATAATTCATTATTTGGGAATAAAGTAATTCCATAATCGATTTCGCGTTGTTATTGCACCCTTCTAGTAACTTCTAGTGGTTATTAGTAAAGCCGAAGACAAATTAATTGTTTATTGTGAACCATTTCCATGCGAGACGACTGGAAGCTACGATGATTCTGCCTACAACACTTAAATCCGTAACAATCTCTCTTTTAAAACTGACTTGAGAGAATTGCTACAAGTGCAGTAAGGTTAGCAGCCGCCGTTACGTGGTTTTGATGATGATAGCGTTACATCTCGTGTCAGTTTCCACTCAATTCTAGACAAAAATGCTTCCTGACGAAATCGAACCCTAACGAGATTTTATGATTTGCCCTATATAAAAATACCGTGGCCTTGCAATTACATAAACTTATCGTCACTTTTTTCGTCCATGCTGAAAGAATCTAAAAAGTGCGAGAAATAAGTCTATCGCATCACCTTCCAGATGTGTAATGTTGATAACGTGAACTTAATGAATAAAAGTCAGTAGCACTTACCTTCGGGATGATTTGCCTTCATTTGCTTCAGTTGCAGTCGTGCACTATTTGTTTTTTTTGGAAATCTTCTCAAGATACTTAAACTACCAAGACCAATGTGTTCCTTGAGTTATAAAGCGAGTGTCGTGCACAATCATACGTGTGCTTTCTATGTGCTTAGATGTGTAAACTATTCGCTGAGGCCACTTCACGTGGCAGAATAAAACAAGGATATCGCAACCCTGAATGTGTAATCGTAGTGTTCTTTCACAAGAAAAGCAAAACGCAATTTATCTTCTCTGATGTGCTGTAAACTCATGTTACTTACCGACTGCGTCATTTTCTGTATTTTAAGCGACAGTATAAACATTAGTGATTTTGCAAAGAACTTGGCTTGTAAAATCCTAATTTTCGAGATCATTATTCTTCTTCAGGGCTTTAGACACAATTAAATTTCGCAACGAGGTAGATAACACTCAACTAAAGTAAAATTTCTATAGAACTTTGCCGAAACGAAATGGCGCGTGAACGGTTGACAACAACGGATTTTGCGCCGGCCGTAGCGGGAGACTGGGGAGAGCCTTAATGAAAGTACAAAATGTCACGCAACTCTCGCAAGTATTTTGTAAGTAACTACCTATAAACTTTTTAAAAATATTTTTAATTTCTGCCATCTGACCGGTCTGCAAATTTTCGATGTTTATTTGTTAGTTATTTTGTAAAGAATTTGGTCGGTAAAATCCTAATTCTCAAAATCATTCTTCTTCTTTAGGGCTGTAAGGCACACTTAAATTTCGCAACCAGGCAGATAACACTCGACCAAAGTAGAATTTCTGTCGAACTTTGTCCGAAACGATATGATGCAGAAACGGTTAACAACAATGATCAAGTGTACAATTTGCAATTCTGCGTATGTGCAGTGGCGTGGAATGCCTTAGTGAAAGTACAAATTTCATGCAACTTTCTTGAAAAATATTTTTACAAATAGCTAGCTATGAATTTTTTTTAAATACATCTTTTCATTCTGCCATCTGGCTGGTCTGTATACTGCCATATTTTTTTTTCTGAACCATATCAGCGAAAGTCTCTTGCTTGTGGAATGTGGTGACATTATCTATGGGTGTCTTTGTGTTCAAGGCAAAGATGGGAAGGTTTAATCCCTTTCTAGACACTCCCTATGAACATGATTAGTGATTATTTAAACTAGCTGTTCAGTATATTTCATAATCAATCATCAAATGTAATCTGAAAAGTCTGTCCAAATTTAATCTGTTGATACCATAATTCCAGTGGAACAATTACCTCATTAGAAAGCAGCTGCATGTGTATTGTGTTCTCGGGTCTGAAATTTGCACACCATACCATAGAAGCTTACTTGACGTTATGTGATCCCCTTTTGGACATGGGATTTTTCAAATCATGTGTGAGAGGTTTTAAACCTTATGCATCCCCATGCTCTCTTATGAACAGAACAGGATAAGCATTTCAAGTTACTCAAGAATGTACTGGAATAAACTTGATAAAATCTTGTCAAGAACATTTAAATTCCTACTGATCTTAAAATTTTGATTCTTACAAAACTCTTAGATGAACTTTAGATGAAATCCTGTCTAGAATCTTTATGATGTTACATTTACAGATCTTACTTAATTATTAAGGTTCTTAACAAACTTACCAAGATCTTGTCAAGAAGCTTGTAAGATCTTCCTTTTCTTAAAGATTAGGATTCTTACAACTGAGATTCTTAAGTGAACTTTATATGATGTTGTTAAGAACTTTCAAGATCTTAACCCCCATTTCTTGTAAAATTTTGTGAGGATTCTTACAAGATTCTTAAATAAACTTAATAAGATCTTGTTAAGAACCTTCCAAGATCTTAATCCCCATGTGTTGTAAAATTTTGTCAAGATTCTTACAAGATTCTTGTATAAACTTAATAGGATCTTTTAAGATCTTACAATGCTCAAACCTGGTTAAGATTTGTTCAAGAAATTTGGCAAGATCTTATTAAGATTATTAATTCTTAATAAGATCTTAGTAAGATCTGCATCTTAATTGCCATCTTATAAGATTCTTACAAGATCTTACAGGATCTTCCAAGATCTTAATAAGATTTCCACCTGGGATTTCTCCAAATAGTGAAGAAATCCAGCCAAAGTAGACAAATGTTCTAAGTACATCTCTTGATTTTGTTTGCTTTGTAAAGAGGTACTCAGCGGGTCAAAAACTTTTTCCTTTTTCTTCACAAAGAAGGTGAACCATTTCAAAAATGTACTGATGCCAAACACTTTGGGACAGAACCACTTAATGTTACCAACATCAGAATCCCTCCTGTGTTATAAATCTAACACACCATTCAAAGTTAAACAAAGGGTAAAACGAAAGACTGCTTCATACATACTAATAAGCTTCTTTCAAGCATGTTTTTTTGAGTGCATTTGAAAAAATTGCACGTATATGCATGCTTTTTTTAATACAGTTTTCGTGTGCATTTAGGGCCAAATATTTCTGAGCTGTACTGTATGTATGTTTGATTTTACTCTGCAGTGACACTGAGATGGGAAGCTGTTAATGTACAGGGTCATAAACCGCACACAAGGAGTCTTCACACCTTGTGTGCACATCATAGCAAGGTATTGTATGAAACACCCTTAAAACAGCAGTGAGTGTCTTAAACAACATAAAGTGGTGTTAAATACTTAAGCTAACTTGATGCTGATGTACCATAGGATTCTAGTTATGTTTTGGATTGGCAAGAGGAACCATGATCTGGGCAGTAGAGGAGTTCTTATTACAGAAGCATGAAGAATTATGTGAAATGAGCAATGACACTTCTGGTTCAAATTTCACACCCCCAGTGCACAGATGACAGTCAAATGCCTGTGGGTCTGTAGGTTTCCCTGAGGAGGGGGGGGGGAAGGAGGTTGATATTTCTTTCTTTTTTAATGATAACTGAATTATATTTATTTAAAAGGCATATATATAAGGATATGTCACGATTTGTACATATTTTCAATGGTGCCCCTAATTTTTCATATTTTTTTCCATCTTCTTCTACAGGACATTTATTTATTTGGGGGTTCAAATGATGTGGCAAAAGTTACAACACCGTTTGACGACATATACAAGCTTAGTTTGAGTGAGTAAACAGCTTGTTTCTTCATTATCCTTTTTTTTCAAGACAACTTAACTGTAAACACTAGGATATGGGCCACACACTCAAAAAAGTTACATCCGAGTTCGGCAACTCAAATTTTGGGAAAAAACATCAAAAATAAATCGAAAAAATCACTTTAAGATTTTCGCACAGCCCCCTACTATAGTGAAACAAAGGCGTAGTGCCAAAGGTATAATTTTGTTATCGCTATTGTTTTGTTTCTCTGAGAAGTGTTTGCATAGTGGAGTATAAGGAGGGCAAAATCTTATGGAAATGTCAAGCAGAGTCTTGAGAAAGTTGCTTTGAATTGGTTGCTTCATTGAACGTACACCAGCGTAAAATCATTTACCATTAAAACGGGGAATACTTTGAATCCTTATTTATTATTTTAATGTAAGTGATGTGGTGTTGGCTTGGTATATTCTTATGACTCGGCCATCCTGATTTGCACATAACGGTAATTTAGTATTATCAACTGAGTCGGTAGCGTAAATTGGCGACCGTAAGGAGTTTCAAAGCTGACTTCTCGAGCGTTAAACCTTTGTCGGAGCGAAAGACTGAAAGACCCTTCGCTCTGACTGAGGGCTAATGCTCGGAAAGTCAGCTGTGAAACTCTTTATGGTGGCCAATTTACGTTATCGACTCAGTTGATAATACTAAATTACTATGTTATACTCTCCCACCGACGCAGCACCACAGTTTCTTTAAAAACCGACCCCCTTTATTGATTTGCGTCTTGCTTGGCTTCTCACTCTACTCTCCATCTATCATGTGATATATTGCATGAAGTGCAGCCAATCAGATTGCAGCATTCTGTGATAGAGCGTCGGTAAATTTATGATAAGACTCGTTAGCCTTTGTAGACAAATATCCAAGCATATTTTTACGTGAAATGGGAGCTGTTGTTTATACCTGGGTACGTTATCCCGTTTCAGCTAAACTGAAATGGAAGAAACTTCAATGTTCCGGTGAAGGACCTGACAGAAGACACGGGCATACTGCTGTGATGATTTACGGACAGGTAAAGCTTTTTAAAAATACTTAACCTCATGTTTGTCAAAGAAGCTAAAAAAAAGGGTAAGAGTGAAGGGAAAAAGAGCTCTGGCACGGTTTGTGCCCCATCAAGAAAGAAAGGTTTCACGCAGATCATTGATATTAATTTATTCTCTTTCTCTTCCTTTTCCAGCTCATAATTTTCGGCGGAATGGATGACCAGAAGGATTTTGATGATGTTTGCATATTGCAGACACGTGCTGCCTTGAAGCACATCCCCCAAGAAATGACAGGCAAGTTACTAAATTAATTCAGTTAAAAACACAGGAATGTTTCTTTCGGGATGGGAGTGGTTTTGCAACTTGACTGCAGAACACTCAGTCCTTTGTTTTTAGCTGTGCGTAGTCTTCTCTCCTCCTGTAAGACTGGAAAAATACGGAAAACATTTAAAGAACACAGAGAAAAATATATTTTTAAACATTCTGGCAGTTATTCTCTACTCCAATGTAAAGCTGACTGTTCTTACTTGAATTTTTTTAGAAACAGACGTACTGTCGTCATCTCTGTCCAGGTTTGTTTATTAATACTATCATGATGATGATGATGATGATAATGATTATTATTATTATTGCTGTTGTTATTTTCAAAACAAACAATCTTCTCAAGAGATTTAAGGATTCGTAATCGTTACGCAATGCAGATTTATCTTGAACGGGTTGATGTTCCAGCCATAGTTAGCACAGTACACTCATGTGAAGGAGATGTATTGATGCTTTAAACGATAACCGAAACTGGACTTGATTCTTTGCTTTCCTTGAGAACCAAAGCTCTGCACCCTATAGAAGCGCCTTAGATCAGCCCTGCCCTCAAGAACCTTATTAAGAAACGCCTAAGAGCTCGCAATCCAGGCGATCATACTGGGTTTAGACTCCTGCGAAATCGTATCAATCAAACGCACGTAATGTCGATCGGACTGCAATAAACGCCGGGTATCTGAAGGAGTGCTCCCCGACTGAGTGGTGGAAGGAAATAAAGCGACTTGGTGGTGTCACTAACTCCTCTGGAGCAGGGAACAATGTGAGGAAGGCTGTCCGTCACCTTGAGGGTGTTCGCGATATATCGCCCACCGACTTTCCTAATCGTGTCAACGGAGCCTTTTTGACTGCAACAGAAGGGTTTTTTCGCTCACCCACAATCCCCGCCATTCAAAACACTCTGGTTTGTTTGCGATAGATTGCGTGAGATTTCGAGCTCTTTGTTTTGACCTAAAGACGAACGACACAATTATCACACATTTTCGACAGACTCTCACAAGGAACACGCACTTTTTTGTACATGTGAGCTCATGGTCACGTGAGCAGTGAGACATAAAACAACAACTCAAAAGCTCGTTAAGGGAGTGGGGAATGGGGAGTGACTAAATTAGTATGTACTGATATCTTTTTCAGTGGCGGTAGTGATATGTTAGGCCCCCTGACATCTTACGATTTGTCGATACAAGTTCCTGCACCGTACAGACCTGTTATTCCTGCTGTTACCGAGGTAAGGATTCAATACAGAATTTCTCCTGACAATACTGTACCAATACTATTTCAAGAATACAAGTGATAAGAATAAAGAAAAATATCAGTTAGGGGGTTATGAGTTGATCCAATACCAAATTCTCCGAACTGATATAAGAACTGTATGGGAGACAGTAAGGAGAATTACCAATGAGATCTTGGGAGTGAAAGGGTTAATGTGATATCCCAAGGTCAACCATGGAGGAAGAACAAAAAAAATTAAAAAACATTAACGGAACATTTATATTATTTCATGAAAATGTTTATCTCCTCTCAAGTCCCAAACACAAACACGACGTTATGTTAATGATGCAGCTTTCTTCGTGTCTGCAAAAAAAAAACACACAAAAAAATTATGGACCTTCACTGCAAGTCTAGTCGCCAATTTTTTTTCTTCTTCCTCTATTGCCCCACTTCTTTCTGTATAGGACTCCTATATACTTACATTTTTGAAATGTACAAACATCGACAAGGCCAGGCCATAATACCGGGAGCTATGCTCTCTACCCTTTGCACGGAGTGCGTGGGTCCTTTAATGACCCTTGCTAACCAGTACAGATAGGGAAGATGCAGGAGACGGAACCTACGGTTTACTGTTCTTATCGCAGAAGACTACTGTAAAAATGACCAATATCATTTGCAGATGTCATAGCAAAGGCATCATATTCTACTAAGTTATTTTAAGACCCTAAGTGCTGGTCCGATCTTGGGCTTGAACCCTTGACCGGCTGCAAAGCAGTCTGGGACTCTTCAACACGAGCCACTGAACGAAGCGTGGTTATCCACTTGCCATGGCGACCAAAACATTTGCAACTTGGAGTGCTGCCTCGCTGAGCAGGGTCTGTTACAGAACTCCAAAACTGATAGTGTATTTTATTGAATGTGTAGCCTGCTAAACCCCCTGAGTTTGATGATGTGAAAGCGTCGTTCACCAAACGAGTTGAAGAGATTTTTGAAGATCTTTCAAACAAGTATGCGGAGGTTCAAACGTAAGTCTTTGTGTGCGTTTTTTTGTGTACCTGCTTTTTGTTGTTAAGGTTTGTTTTGAGGACTAAACTTTTTCTATAGGCTGCGAAAAGTGTAATCGGTTTGTAATAGTATACTAATGCAAACATTTTCGCACGGTTAACGGCTTTGAGCACCGCAGTTGATCCCTGGTAGTGTAGGGAGATGAAATTGATAAGAAACAATTAAAAATTGAAATTTTGGTTCTAAGGAATTCATTTTAAAAATTGTATCAGTAAATAGGATACTTGAATGATGACTCGTACAATTTGTATAGGTAATCACATGAGGCCAAGTACTATTAAGGATTAATTGCACGAGAGTTTTCAAAATTTTCCAAAATTGCCCGAGTCGCGAAGCGACTCGGGCAATTTGGAAAATTTTGAAAACTCAAGTGCAATTAATCCTTAATAGTACGAGGTCTCATGGGATTACTTGTTTATCAATAAAGGGCAAAATTTATACGAAGGAAAATCACGCGCGCAGTCTATTTTTAACAAATTTCAAGATAACGAACGGTTGCTATGCAACGGATTAGCCAATCATTAACAGGTAATCATGCCCTCTCTTGATTACTAAAATTGCCCTCGATTAAGAAAAAATGCCCTCTCTCTCAACCAATCAGCGCTCAGTAATTTTGCCCTTTATTGATAAGGTATAGGTAAACACTCCTGAACTTTCCAAAGATATAACTGCATTTAGTATTTCCGACTTTGAGAAATCTATTCGTGCTTTAGTTGTGTTTTTGGTGTACTGAGCTCACGCAAATCCATAGTTTGTGTGGTTGATGAAATTGATGCATATAGCGCAGTTGTGGTAGATCTTGCTTTAGGGTTAGCGGTGGTTAGCATGATTAATGAAATTGACGCACTTGGTGTAGTTTCTTGATGTTGCGGTAATTTGGACATTTGAAGCTGCTGCTGGATTTGTTGTGCTTTGCGTATTTAGTGTTGTTGCCTTATTTGATGCCCTTTTGGTGAAGTTTTGGCAGCTTGTGCGATTGGTGTAGTTCGTGAAATTCCGTGAATTTGACTTTTTTTTTTTCATGTTGCTTACTAAGACGTCCCTATTAAATTTTCCGATCGTAAAACGTCAAACTTGAATGCAGAGTTGGTTTTGTTCGAAGTATATTCTTAAAACTTTCTCTGTGAGGCACACTAACGGATTTAGGGCTTGTTATTGAAGACTACCCCTCTGCGTCGCAAGAGTTTGTCTATCAAACACTCACAGCGCTGTAAAATTGATTCTTCATACACAGCACAACCGTTTTCATGCCTGTTTCGTGCGTCTTTTTCAGACAGAGGGAAGCGTTGAAGAACGCGGTGGAAGCTTTCCAAGAAGAAAGGACATCACATATTGAGTTGTATGAGAAACAACAGAAGGTAAAAGCTGACTTTATGGTATTATCATCATTTCTCAATACTTATTACCATACAGTTTATTATTATTATTATTATCATTATTATTATTAATTAGATGAATTTACGTTGTTTTCGTTCTGCTTAGGAAAGGTGCGGCTTAAATTGTGCGTCGATAAATTCGAAGCTTTAACATTTTTGCCCTCCTTCCCCCCCCCCCCCGGGGGGAAAAGTGTCGTATTTGATGGTCGATTTTCTAAAAGGCAAAATCAGCAACTATGACTTTCCACTCATTAACCAAGCTTCAAGATATAGCCTTTAACGACCTTTTCTTCTGAGCCACCAGCTCGCGAAATTGAACTCTCTTTACCTTTAAAGACTTTTATATTAAAAGGTAAACACATGTATTCCGCCGGAAGGATTTGACACTTCCAGTCCAAATCCCCCTAACCCCCGGTCACGGATGACGGTCAACTGCACTTGGGTTGCCTGAGGGGGGGAGGGGGGAGGAGCTTAAGACCTGAATAGATCGGCGTATTATGTTTATATAGCTATTTCAATTTACGTTGTCGGATCAAAGCCTCAAGCCTACAAGACAAGACCGAAGGGGAATATGGGATCTTAATGAATAATTATCAACAAAATGTCCCGTACCCTTGAAGCTTTGATCCGACAACGTAAATTGAAATAGCTGTGTACTCTTACTCGAAAGGAGCTGGAGGACATGATAAACAAACACAGAGTAGAAAATGAGGAATGGATAAACGCACGGAAACAAGAACTTGAGGAGGAAAGACATAGATTAGAATTGGAAAAGGTATTTTGTAAAATTGCTGATTTTAATTTTGATATCTTTTAACGGTTATTTACGTTGCACTTCGGATTTTTTTTAGCCTTCCAACACAACTTGAATTGGAATCTTTAGTAATTATTGACTTGCCGTTAATATTTTTATTTATTTTTGCTTACTTGAAACGAGGCTAAATGTAATTTAGGTTAGGTTAAGTCACAGCAGCGGTTTACTAAGCCGGTTTGGAGGGAGACTTTGCTATGTGCTTTCACTCGGTTGCTTTGTTACTGTGTGTACAGTTATTTATTCCTGTAATTATGGTGTGATTTTGCAGTTTTGAAGCGTTCCTCCTGTGTCCTTTTTTTTGTAATGTACCATCTTGTACTGTATTTTCCACATCTAGAATACGTGTTGAACTATCGTTGGTTGTGCATTTTTTTTTTCAAAGTCAGTTTACTGCTGTTGATTTTCGTAGTGTTGATTGCTTTTCATGTACTGAAATCAGTTTCACTGTTCTTTTAACAGGGTCAATTGGTTGAAGAAAGGGAAAGACTTCGAAAGGAAAAGATAGAATTTGGCGAAAAAATTGAAGCTATCGAAAAGCTCGGTGGTGGAGCCAACCATCTATTGAATGGAGTTAGCTAAACACAGAATCATTCAATAATACATTGGAGCGCTTTTCGACTGACTGTCGTAAAACCGAAACCATAATAATCACAACGACCAATCAGAAGAAAGGAAAATACCTTAAAGAGCCAATGAGAACTCAGAGTACAACCGACAAAACTTTCTAACGCGCGGGAAAACGCGGGCGACGAAGTCGTGACTGGTATCAGTTTTGCTTTTGATTGGTTGAGAGAATGGCGCAAATTTGCGGGACCAATCAAAACGAATAAAAAAAACGACAACAACAAACAATCACGGATCACTTTCCGACCCTTGATTGGAATTTGCATCTAGACTATCAACGAAATTAACTAAGTAGAGAATTCCACCAAGTGAATCGAAACACCTCACAGAAAAGCACTTCAATGACGCTTTACATGTAATAAAGCACAAATATTTGTTTATAATGAGTAGTGTCCGTATTTCTTCAGCGGAGTATATTCTTTGCCCTACCCAAACATAATTCACCGGGGCGTTATTGCCAGTGAGATTTATAAACGGGACTACAGTTTATCCCCACCATTCCGGTCCTCATTAAAACAGTGATACCCCTCCTTGATTCATTTTGCCCTCTTAGTTACTTCCACCCCACCCCAGGGTGTTGTTAAGGAAGCCCCCCTGTCTCAGTGACTGAATCTTTTCTAGCGCAAGATACTCCACTGATCAGTCGCCATCGCCGAACGAATTCGAGCCCGCTGATACAAATTGCTAGACATCAATTAATGTAAGGTACGCACCCCTTCCCCCCCCCCCCCACATTCCCCTTCTCTTAGAAATTACTTGATTCCATTGTTCTCTTTGCCATGGTACATGTATCAACAATGCCGCTTTAAAAACGATTAATCCCTGAGAAGGTACCTCGATTTCTGCGTCAAATAATGATAATAATAATTATATAATATCAAAGCAGATATGTTTCGTAAAATTGAATAAACCGGCCGTTCACCGGAATTTAACAGGAGTTACACCAACTTTAAACAGACAGGTACATTTGATTGCGTATCGAATCTTAACCACCGATTGATTATTCCGTGTTCAAACCAAGGGATATAGAGGTTCTGGAGGAGGAGAAGGGGGGGGGGAGGGTGTTGTGAGGCAGGCAACCATGTTAGATCGGCACAGTCAGCACAGTCTAGGTCCAAATGAGAGATACCAAAATGGAGGAACGAAATAACGAAAACACTTCCCTTTCTGGAGGAGGTCAAGCAAAAACAGTAGCTCCTTAGAAAACGTCTAGTGAATTCCACCTCTCATGGACTTGAGAGTTGACATCTTGGACCTAAGCAACACTCGTTTAGTCGTTTTATTTGGAAATCCATATTTGTGCCCTTCTCTGTACATCCCACCCCACCCCACCCCCCTCTCTCCCCTTCCAGCCACTGTACGTTTTCCTTGAAAAGGAAAAAATGTTTAACAATCAAAGCTTCTTAGGTTGGCGTTGGCGATACGCGATCTTAATGAACGACTCAGGGTTATTAATGCGAGGAGAAATTAGACACTGGGCGCCCTTAGGATTTAAAGGGTTAAAAAAGAATGTTTCTGAGGATCTAAGCAGAGCAATTGAACGCCGGTGAACGGCACTTCGACAATCTTCGCTGTGATGCCGAAAAGTCACGAGTGTCACGAGTGTTTGAATTCAGTACCTAATAACGTGACATCTATGACATAAGAAGCGAGAAAGCCTGATCTTGCATGGGAAACCACCTGGCGCTGTGTATACCGCAAAAAGAAACATGGAGCAAAAGAAATAACTACGTTATATTCTATTCCAGGGAGCAAGAAGACATCTGGTTGAAGTGTGCATTTCCACCGAAGAGATTCAGACAGCGGATTTCCACGGCATACGAAACGCTATTTTTATTTATTAAATATGGCGGCCATTAGTGGAGAGCCGAACCATGAATACAGTATTAGTGTGACTGCTGTCGTCAGCGAAGCAAGATGTCTTCGCGAATTTGTGAAAGAAATCGCTCCAAGTATTACTGTTGATAATCTGAAAGCGATGAAACGGTTTCTGCGAGATGTAATCTCGTTGAATGTTGGTGTTGAATCTGACTCTGGGGGAGAGCTCATGGCCACTCTTACGACTTGTCATTGTGTGAACGACTACGATTTGGATCTTTTGGAATATTTACTTGGTGTAACTGGAAGGAATGATAATTTAAATATGCTGCGGGAGTTTAGGAGGAAATGCTCTCCAACTCTGGGCAGTATCCCGGAAGAAAGAATCAACGAAATCTCTCCAGGTAGGATAAGATCAAAATTTTTAATTTAAAGGCACATCTGATAGGAAACTTGCGAAACCGTATCTGCCATTTCTTTGGTTTCTTTTTTGTTAAATGATTAGGTCCCAGAAGAAATGTCATTTGATGTAATCCTATCGTTAAATTATGCTTTACTGACTGTTTTTCTAGTATGATCATCACGGCAATTAACATTGCCTCAAAGCAGTCATTACTATTTCCAGAAAATCTCCCTTGCTCATAACTGATTCTGTTTGGCTAGTGAAAAATATAGAGTTCACCATGTTGGAATTATTTTCTTTGTAATGCCGCTGGCTCTGAGGTGTGTGACAAAGCGGAACGCTTTTATAGAGAAGACTAACAGACTTTTCTCAGGTGAGAAAGTAGTCACTAGTCTTCTGGGAGAGGAAGTGTCGCATGACAGCCTCGTGGGTTGTCCAGAACGCAAAAAGAGGAGCTAAATGATAGAGCATGTGACCTTCTGTACAACTAAAGGCATGAGACTACTTTTTGCCAGTATCTAAGTTGGCTAATAGGTGTTGGGTATCACCTGTGACTGACTGTTGAATTAAATTAATACATTTTTTTATGAAACCAACAGCTTCTGATTTCTCTACACAAAGAGAGTTCTGTATGAGTTTTGCACTCAGATTTCTAGATTACAGGTTCTCACACTGGGTTTATTTTGTTCACAGCTTTTTAGGCTGGGATTTGGAAGAATATAGTTAAGCCTGAATCTTGGATTTTAATGAGGATCTCGGCGTCCTGGCGAGTCTTGTATTTTACCATTCTTTACTTCTTGTATTGACTTAGACTTCAAATAAGACAGATATATTGAAAGAGTTGTCAATAATCTCTATGACAATTCATCAATCAATTCTCTCACAGCGTTAGAGACAGGTTTATCAATTGTATTGATACTGATGACTACTATACTGTGAGTCTTTGTCAGGTGATGAGGTTGAAAGTTTATATATTGCTTTTTATAGCATCTTGGTGTGTTTTGGTGCACTGTCATTGGTGCATTTCAATCCTCAATATTATTCAGACTATAAGATGTTGTTCCCTCATGATCCACTTGGTTACTGATCAGTTATAATGTTTTTTTATAGTACATGTAGTTAATCCATGCTTCTGGAATTTTGATCCACTACCACCCCTCTAACATGTCTATAGAATGCCAAATGTGGCAACATTATTGACGCCATACGAAGGGGATTTATACAACATTGATACTAATCCATGGCAAAGAATGTTGACAATCGAAGCAGATTATTATTAAATTTAATGATTAACCACTTGGATACTGAATGGGAAATTGAAATTGAGCCATCATCATGGCATCAAAATAAGATATGATCAACAAGTATTCCTTCTGAGGGATGTATCAGGATTGTTTGTAATCATTGGCCTCTGGCACCACACGCTTTTCTTCTTGTCGAAAACAGAGTCAATTTGACCCATTTTAGTGGTATCGGGAAGAACTCAAAAGCCTGACAAAGATAAAAAAAATAAATCTAAGGGATTGAGCCAACCAGAAACCCTTGTGACTCCTGACAAGACATCTTTCATTTTTTAACAGACAGTTTACAAGTTTTGCTTTTTTTGGTTTCCCTCATTGAATGTTTTATGTAAAGACAGTATGACGAACATTACGTAAAACAACATTAAACTGTATCAGTTTATATCTACTTCAATAGCATTGCAGAATCGTGAATATGTAATTCTCCTATTGCATTTCCATGACAATCTGTTTTGAAGTGGATAATTTTTAAATGTAATAACAGTCTGCTTCAAATGACATCATACACTATATTTTGCAGCATAAGTATCATGTAATTGATCCTCTGCTTATGGTGTCATCATTTTTCTACCGTTGGCACCACATGTGTGGACCAGTGAGAGTCATTGTGTTTCTCTAGCAGTATAACAGTCAACTGTTGCAAACAATACAATTGATTATGTGACCTATACATCATGAGACAAATGATTAAATGTTCATTTATCCATAAAACCACAATAAACAACAAAATTTTCTATAATGATCTTCCCAGAAAGAAAAAAAAATCCTGAAAGGATTAACACAGAACTTATCCCTGTAACATCCATACATTATCCAGTAAACAGGTAATGAGAATACTCAAACTTATCAGGTTATCAGGTAGAAATTATTGTCTTGATCTAACTTTAAATTCTTATCACTAATTAACAAAGAAATGTGTAGCAGCTGGAGGGGAGAATTGACAATCACATCTTGAGAGTTAAATAGTTAAAAGCAAGCTTGATTTTCCCGTCTTCACTTAGTCTGTGTTCTGGAGAAGTTTAACCCTTTACACCCTAACATCAGTATGCATATTCTCCATACTGTTCTCTACACATTTCCTAACTTGCTGACAAGGAGAACTTGTTTAAC